TGCATATAATGTTAATATTATATATCTCTGTATGGAAATTGAACCTAAATGGAGATCTTTCTGAGTCGTAACATTCCTTTGGGCAGGGGGCATCTTCAGAGGGAATATATCTGACTATTCGATGTTTCTAACAAAGGAGAGGGTTAAATATGGAAAGAATATTCAAGAATGATGAGTTGAACAAGGGCCAATGCTAGGCATTTCCACAGAGAGGCAAACTAAGAAACAGGTTGATGAAACTGAGGAAATGATAGAATCCATGGTTTTAACCTTTTGGCTGTGACATTTTCCTGTTAGACATTTGATGTTTCCAGGAGTAGCACCCTCTCCCTGTCTCAACCTCAGTTCAAACAATTCAATCACGTTGTTTTAGCCCTACAAACTGTACCTCCGTCGACGTGAAAAATATATTTTCAGAATAACAAGCTTTGTGGATAAATAAATTTTACTCTGCAAATACTGTATATCTACATTGTGATGAATATTGTTACCACTGCTCAAGGAATAGGAGTTCAGTTGATTTGACTGAAGTATATCAGAGGGTGATACTATTGATAAAAATGTATTATAAGGGGGGCCAGCATTGTAGCACTGCAGATTAAGCTGCTGCCTTCAAAGCCAGCATCCAGATGAGTGGCAGTTTGAATTCCTGCGGCTCCACTTCCGATCTAGTTTCTTGTTGACATGCCTGGAAAAGCAACAGAAGATGACCCAAATGCCACCCTTATGAGAAACTGGATGTAGTTCCAGGCTGCTTTGGTCTGGCTCAGACCTGCCTAGCAATTGTGGTCATTTGGAGAGTGAACCAGCAGATAGATTCATTCTCTCTCTCTCTCTCTCTCTCTCTCTCTCTCTCTCCATCTCTCTTGGTCTCTCATTTTCTTTGTAAATCTGTCTTCCGAATAAATAAATGTAAATAAATAAATAAATCTTTTAAAAAATATATTGTAAGAGAGGATAGTAGAGAATTGTGTTCTAGGGTACAAAGGATCACCTTACACAGAAACTGTACAGGTGATTAAGTTTTTCTTTATCTTAGCAGGATGGACGGAAATTAGGTAAGAGATAAAATACATGTCTCTCCGTGAACATGGTGGTCACAAGGTTACTTTGACTGAAATGAGGCCTGACCTACAGTATGTTTCTCATGTGTATTAACAGGACAAGGCACAAGGGGTGGCACTGTGGTGTAGTGGATTAAACTGAGGCCTGCAATGCTGACATCCCATATGGGCGCTGGCTCATGTCTGGGTTGCTTAGCTTATGATCCAGCTCCCTGCTAAAGGCCTGGGAAAGCAACAGAAGGTGGCCCAGGTGCTTGCTTGGGACCCTACTACGCATGTGGGAGACCAAGATGAAGTTCCTGGCTCCTGGATTTGGCCAAGCCCAGCCCTGGCTGTTGCAGCTATTTGAGGAGTGAACCACAGTGGATAGAAGATTTCTGTCTGTCTCTCCCTCTCTGTCTGTAATTCTGCCGTTCAAAATAAAAACTTAATCTTAAGACAAAAAAAGGACAGGACACAACACTATGTTAGTATCACTATACCTTTAGGTGGTAGTCTGGTGGTCTAACACATTTCACATACCAGACTAACCTAAAGAAAAGGAATGTTGACAAATCTATATTCAATTTTTCTTGGGGATTCGTATCAGAAGGGATAAATTTTTTTTCTCCATGAAACCACAAATGCAGTAACAAATTTAAAATTTCACACACAAACACAAAAAGAGTTGAAATAGGAATAGAGTGAAGACAGACTTGGCATTTAGTTATGCTACTTTTTTCAGTTACATTCATTTAATATAGAATTTTTTCTAAGAGAAAAATCAAAGGAAAAATAATTTGGGGCTCTATCATATTTTTTGAAAAGAGTTATGTTTTATGAATAATAATTCTCTATAATAATTCTCTCATTGCCTTGAAGGAAACAATTAGAAAAAAATGTAAAATAACACAAATATAGGGGGATTTATTTTCAATTGAAATATGACAATGTGGTCCTCCTTTACTTTTTTAATGCTATTGAGTGTTTGACCTTAAATCCAATCATTCACTTGACTATCCCTTTATAGAGTGCATAAGGTGTACGCACTAAAGAAAATAGTCTTTGACTTTAAGAATGTTAATAACTGCTGTTATTTTGTCTTGAATGGTTAGACAATCCTCAATAATTATAAGTGAGCTATCTTCTTACTCATGATGGTGCTCTTTACAAAAATAGATGAAGTGAGTGCTGAATCTTTGCAAAACATCAGATACTTTGGAAATTTGTTATACTAAAGCTAGTGTTCCAGCATCTTGATATAAGACTGTCTAGCAAAGATGTGAAAGAGAACCCAACCAAAACAAAACCCAATCTCCCAGGATGCTTCTTGCATATAATTTAGAAAGCCTTTTTTTCCTCATCATAATGAGGACAAAAGGAAAAAAAAAGGACTAATTTAAGAACTAGGTGGTTTATTTTCATCTCCTCTATTTCTAGGAAGCAGGTGGTATATTTGCTTTCACTGTGTGTGCCAAGAAGTACATTTCTTAAAATTGCATATAAATATGTCACTCGCAGTTTTAAGTAGAGATATGTGGTTTCTAAATTTTCAGGAGTACTCTACTCTGTTATAATTCAGACATCATCTACATTTGATATCTCATGATTTTTTCCTTCTGTATCTGTTTTTACAAAATTGGTAACTGATTTTCAGCTTGGAGGGGATGAAAAATGATTTCTATATGGGGTAACCATTATATCTCAGTAAAACAGTAATAATATATATATAAATATATATAATGTTCTAACCATAGTTGTCAATATCTGTGTATTTATGATGATACAACTTGGAAAATCTCTACAGAGGACAAGGAAATCTTTTTCTTGCCATATAGCATAATGGCAATGTTTTTGGAAAAATCTCATACTGAGTTGCTTCTTTTGCTAAAATGTCTATAAGTAGTATGTGGCTCTCTCAGCCCTATGTATACAGAGTACATCCAGCCCAACAAATGAATTAAGCTTTCCTCGGCCAGCGCCGCGGCTCAAAAGGCTAATCCTCTGCCTGCGGTCGGGGCGCTGGATTCTGTCCCGGTTGCCCCTCTCCCAGGCCAGCTCTCTGCTATGGCCCAGGGGGTGCAGTGGAGGATGGCCCAAATGCTTGGGCCCTGCACCCTCATGGGAGACCAGGAGAAGCACCTGGCTCCTAGCTTTGGATCAGCGCGATGCGCTGGTCTCAGCCTGCCGGTCGCAGGGGCCATTGGAGGGTGAACCAACGGCAAAGGAAGCCCTTTCTCTCTGTCTCTCTCTCTCATTGTCCACTCTGCCTGTCAAAAAAAAAATAAATTAAAAAAAAAAAAGAATTAAGCTTTCCTTTGATACTTTTTGAGTACAACTCCATAACAGGAAATGTAATGTAAATCCAAATAGCTGAAACAAGTATTTCTAAAACTAGTGAATAAAAGTACTGTAATAGTAATTTTCTGGAAATAGATTCTAGAAACTAATATTTAAAGATTATAGGATCTAGTCATTTAATTGATGGGTTTTAATATTATAAGAATTATTTATGTCGACACTAAGAAATAAGAAAAACATGAAAGAAAAAGGATATCATCCAGTCTTCTTTTATTTTTTAATAAAACCACAGGTAGTAATCTTTCAAGTTTATCATATTCTCTCTGGAATTAAAATGATTTCTCAACTTGCTTTATCCCTGCAATTGCTCTTCTACATCACTAATCATGGCTTAGTTATAACTGTAGTCTCTATAGCAGTGTCTTATACAAAGCACCTTGTCATTTTAGTTCTGTTAAAATGTGCAGATTTTTGGAAGCACAAAAGTGCATGGTAAATGATATGGTCAGGGAACAGAGGGTAGTAGTTGTGAAAAAAATATAGGGTGCCAAGAATGGTGGGAGATAGGATGACAAGTTGACCTGGTTATCATTGTGAAGTCCTCTGAAAAATGTAGCAAAACTCAGGCTTTATATGCAATGGAAAAAGACTCCAGAACTTTTCTGTCACAGGCTTCACTTGATCACATCTTTGTTTTAGAATGCACATTCTGGATAGGGGGTAACAATTTGAAAGGACAGAAGAAAGTAGAAAGTAAAACAATTTGTTAATAGTGGAACAAGTGTCTTGTGATGAAGATCTGAAAAAAGGAAGTGGCAAAAGGACAAATGTCAGAGGTATTTTAGAAGTGAGATCAACAAATCCTGTGGATCTACGTGAATGTGCCTGAGTAGAGGAAAGTGTTGCTGATACGTTCTGCAATAGGGTAAATACATTCCTGGTAGGGCCAAATATATACTTGCAAGGTAATTCACTAGTGATATTCACACACACACACACACACACTTATATTTCTAACTATTATGATTAAAAACTGAGGTTTGGTATTTTGTCTCATGTGATTTTTTAAAAATCTGGTATACTCGGAGATTTTTATGTACAGAAAAATACAGAGTTTTTTTTTTTTTAAACATACTTGCAGTTAAATTCCTTGGGCATTAGGTTTTAATAGCAGCCATCAAGGGCCTCAATTGCCCTGCATCCTTACCCCTCATGGCCAATCCCTCACTGTAATCAACAACATTCTCCACATTATCTTGCTTGCAGTAGAAGTTTGAGAAATATTTAGTCTGATTTGAACACATGGTAAATCTCATCATGTAGCACGTTTTATTTAATATGTTGGTTAACAAATTATATCATATTACCAATATTCAATGAATTAAATTACGAAAAATGCACAAAACTAAAACTTTAGTAAACAATTTAATTTTGTCTTCTTCATTGTTCTAGGTGATTTGAAAAGGATCAGTTACCTCACAATGTTGGTGAATATGAGTGTCAGTAAATTTTTGGTTAATTCAACATAAGTAATGTGTTATATTATGAGGAATGTAGGATGTTATTGAGATAAAATATTTTAGAATCTTTGATGATGTTAATGAAATTGGTAGCCCCTGCTGACACCAACCACTTCAAAAAATATCAGAAGATGTGTTATTGCAATGAAGAAACAACTTTATTTATAGATATTCACTTAATACAGATTATACACACTTTATGCATCAAAATTACATAAAATACAACCAGGTGTTAGTGTCTACATGTATTCCAGTTGAAAGATGCTCTATAATATTCATTCTAATTTATTCACACAAAACCTGTTTATTCTTTTTTAAAATCACAGCTACAAAATACAAAGAAAAGCAAAAATTTTAAGGTGACTGTTATGTGTCCACTTGAATTTTGAATCTTCACAATTTTAATGTTACAGTTTTTCTTCAAATACCATTCTTAGTACTAACTCCACTCAGAAACAGAAATTACATTAAATTGTACACATTTTCTATATGATATCCTCAATTATTCCTATGATGCATGTCAATCCATAATCTACAAAAATGTGTGCATGTACATATACATAGTAAGGTGTGTATGCATATAAATGATGATGGGTGAAAACATGAATTAGACCTATAATACTATAGAAAGCTGAAACTGAAAATTTGACATTGTACAGAGAATTAACAGCAAGCTACATATCTCTTCTATTTTCACAAGTATTACAATTAAGAAAGGTATTAATGCAAAATAAAGAGGATTGATTTAATGGACTTTTACGTGGATATATTTTAGTCATATTAACTTAGCAGAAGTTGTCTATTACTGAAGAATAATTTGTCTTTGCTTTCTGATGTACAGGAGAGGAAGAACATACACTAGTATGTAGATAACAAAAAGGAATTTAATTTTTTCATGTATACTTTAATATTATTGGACATTGATCATTCAGAACAGGGAAACATGATGAAGAGACACACTGCTATTATATTACAGCCAGGTAACATGGTTTAAAAGGAAAAAATCATATGAGCACATATTCAGAATGCACTTAATATGACAGGAGCTTCACCAAATGAAAGATGATATATTGGATGATATAAGGGATAAAGGATGATTATAGTTTAAAGTGGGACATAACGCTTTAAAAGGAGACAATATCACTGTAAATGTAGATGTGTCATCTTAGACCAAGCTATCTTTAAAATGAAGTTTCTATCACTGTTTTCTGATAGAAATTTTACAAACACATACATGCATATATGCAGACATATGTATGTTTATACATATACTAATCCATTTTAGTCAAACTATTTTATAATTACTTCAACATAAAATTAAAATCAATTTTCCTTTAGGCACACAAATAAGTTTTTTTTTTATTTCTAGACATGAGATAAAAGCTTATGTTTCAGTTTCCAAACCTAAATCTTAATTGTATATTCCCTATAATTTCTATAATTTTGAAATGAATGTGTGTGTAACATTATAAACAAATAAAATTTATAAATGTAAAGTTGAATTGTAGTACCTTGTGGAACTTTGTTGTTAAACATCAACTACTCTAGATTCAGACAATGAGTTTTGAGTGACTGTGATCAAATGATTGAAAATAATAATGAAATAATCATATGATTTCTCATTTAGGGGCTCATAGACTAATTTTCCAGAGTTCATGCAAGCCTTTCTTGAAAATAAATCTATGTGTTTACATGCCAAAAGAGCTGGTCAAAATTTTTTAAATTTTCAATTACTTCAAGCTTGTGACACTGAACAACTCTTTGAGCTATGTAATTGAATTCCTGGAAATTTTGTTGTGCAAGATAACAATGTTTATGATTAATTCTCTTTTAATAACGCATAATTGAAATGGTGATCTACATTGATTATGTAATTAAGTTAGAATTAATATGCAATAAAACAAGTAGATACATGTTAAAGTATTTTATGCATTTCTGTAAAAGTACTTTTATCAGAATTGCACATTTGTTTACTTTTAACTGTGACTGAACAGGGTAAAAGCATTATTTTTAAACTTTTCCCTAATTAAGTGTAAAATTAAAGTGTTATTTTGTCATTTAATGTTCTCATCAAGTTTTGAGGTAAAATAATGAAAATTTTTAGAAACATTGACTTTCAAAGTGAGTAATGCTTTATGAAATAAATAAGTGAATAATCAATAAATATAAAGCTAAAGTATAAGGAATTGTAAATGTTTCCAAGAAACTCATTGAAATACTTCATTTTCATTATTATGCAAATTTGACTAACTGAATTCTAATGAAATGTGATATTTCCACTTAAAAAAGTTTTATTTCTAATTGGATAGAATGTGTATATGTGTGAATAATTAGCTATCTAAAAAGGTACAGTTTAAGTAATTTTAATTGAGAAAATCTATAATATGGAAGAGGTAAAAGAGTTGGTTGTAAGAATTCTTGGAAATAATTAAATTACTTGGTTGTGCCTGATAAAGGAAAGTGTGGCGGAAATGAAGATGGCGTTCTTATTAATTAAAAAAGTTTTTTAATGAAAACGATATTTTACCTGAAGGGAAGTTAATCTTATGGTAGAGATATGTAGCATGCCTCTGTATTACACTGCCAACTAATCAAACTATGCTATTACATGATTGTGTCCAATCACACATCTATAAAAATAAATAATATGCATAATAAATATGTTGATATTCAATAAGTGTAAAAAATCTTGTGCAGTTCATAATATAAAATGAAGAGAATAATACTGTAAGATTAAAATGCACCACTTCCAAAAGTTATAGAGCCTTCAAACAGAATTACTAAGTAAGTTATAAAGAATTTACTTACATAAATGGCAATAAAAACAAATAACTTTAAAATTCTTCATCTAAAATCTATCTGCAATTTTCTGAATTTTTCTTAAATGATTGTGTTTTGCATGTATAATAAAATAAAAGCCTATAGCTACTCTAGAATTTTTGAAGTCTATTCCTAATTATAAATACCCCATTAAATCACAAATCTCATGAACACCCTTAATGAGTGAAAAAACAAATTGCACATAGTTCTTTTTCTTAAATAGTGATTTGTATAACACATACAGTTTTCAGTTATCACAGCACCTTTGAATATGCTAGAAAACTAAATAATACTTCAAATAAACAAAGAGTAAACTCCACAACATCTAAGAAAATGTCTTTACACAAGAGCACCTACAGGAAGCATTTACAGAGTGTGGCTTTAGTCATATGAGAGTTCATAAGGTCTGCGTCTGTAGCATTGCAGTTGATATCAGGCTTCACATCACACTCAGCTAGATGTACAATTACAACACCTAATTAAACAGTGAGGATCATAGGGGATAAAATAGGAAAATGAGGCAGTAGTATTTTATATTGGAATGAATAGTAAATATTGCACAAAATAGTGGTTACCTGATTAAATCAAAGTTCAGTGTTTAAGGGTTGTTCTGAAGTGCATGCATTTTCATTGGTAATATAGACAGGGTAGTCAACAGAAAAAACAGAATACATATACATTAAAGACTACTTAACATATGAAATTTAAATTGTTTTATAATGGTACACTTAAATCATTGAACATAAAATATTGTCCAAAATAAACAATAAATATTGTCCAAATATTCTTTTTAAATGTCTTAAATTTAAAAATAAAGTTTTATATTTAAAGTAAAATGAAGGAATGCATTTCACTGTTTTATTTTCAATTTATGTACTAGAGATTTTAATTTAAAATTAGTATTTCTTAGAATGCTTGCTGGGTAGAAAGTATAAAGTATGCTGTAGCTAATCAGTCTACTTCTGATTCAATAACTTAAGTTCACAAAAAGTTTTTTATATCTACAATACTAATCTTAAGATTTGGTATCTTTCTGTCTTTTTCTATTCATTGACTAGAATAAGAACCACAGAGACTGCCAAGGACACTTCATTGAGAATATTCCAAGTGGCCATTAATGCCAACACAAGGGGTTAGAAACATATAATAATAGCATCAACTAAACTACAAGTGCCACTATTTTAACTGGTAAGATGGAAACAAGCAGGAAATGCAAATTTTAATCCTGCTTGGCTTCTGTGAAAAGCTAGCTACAATGCCTTCCATATTATTCTCAAATGGAAATATTATTCCTTTAAACACAAGCAAAGAATAGATGAAGGACAGTTAAATAGACAAAATTAAAATCCATTTTCATTGATGGCCCAATTTTAAACACTGTTTATTTCCAATCCTCATTGGCCTTTATGGGTAAATATTTTAGCACAAAGAGTAGGAAAGAAATCAATTTAGAAGTTCCTTTCTCACAGAAGCTGCATTCTGAGAGATGGAATAACTTACAGCTTTAAAAATAAAGTTTCTATTTTCATCTTCTGCAAAGACGACACACAAAACCATTGAGGAATGCTTTAAAGAGATTCTGGATAATTATTCCAAGATATTTCTTCTTCATACATACAAAGGGGTGATGAGGAGATTTTCTCTTTACAGTCACAAAGGAATGGGCACACAGTGAAAGAAATATGAAGTATTCTCCCTTAACTCACACAGTGTACAGAAACTGAGAGATCGAGGTAGCCATGACATATCATTTTAAATGCATTTACATAATAAGTACATACACAAATGATAATGAAGCTATGGCAGTTTGTTATAGGACATTTACACTCCTGATTCACTTTCTTGAGTTTCATTATTTTATTTACAAGTAAACTGAGACTCTGGATTTTAGAAACTCACACTTTTAGTATATCTTGATACTTACAGGGCAATGACTTTAGGGGTACACTAAATTGGCTCAATTTTGACATTCTTGGGAATGATATGAATTAAACAAAATATTTAATTTATGAGAAAGAAATGTGGTAGAACTGTAAAATTGTTCTATGTGAATAACTTGTACCAAGGTAAATTTTAATTTTTAACATTTTTCTACAATTATCTTTTGCAATATAATATTGTACTTAAAGTAACATCTCTCATTACCAGTAAAAGTAGTTACACTCACAGACATTATAATCAGCTATTAACTGTTTAAGCAGCCAGATAGCACATACGTTCAAGGAACTTGACAGCATTGGAGGTATAAGAGATTCCATATTAAATCAATAGGAACACTAAATTTTAACATAAATGTGTTTAAAATATTATCTATATTGAATATACCCAAGAATTATACTAATTTGAAATGCTAAATACAGCATGAACTTCTTTTAAATACTTTTACATTAAAGAACACTTCAAATAATACTCTGATTTTAATGTACATACATGACAGACAAAATCCTACTCACATTTTTTCAAGATAAAATATACAAATAAGCATTTGAATGAAAATTCAGGAAGAAAAAGTTATGTCATGTTGTGATTATAAAGGTCCTTTATACTCCCTTTATGTCCCAAGAAATCAAGAGGGTTTTTTTTTTAAATTCTGTTAGTAATGTTAGTAAGTCATAAGCAGCTTAAAGAATATAGTATAAAATTGGAACATGCCATTCTTTCCTCAATAAAATACAATGTACACCAAATTCAAAACACTTACTCCTTTGTGTAGGAAATGAGTTAATCAACATGGTGTAAAAGGTGAGTAAATTTTGAAAGTCAGATTATGAAAGTAATGATATGTGTTCTGTAATTTAATGCCAGAGAAAGAAAATAAATCTATTTAAATGTGACTTTAGTGCTTATATATTCCCTAGGTAGTTTCAAAATTAAGATATAATCTTTTTCAAATACCTGCCTAAAGCCGTGTTTCTACACTCATGTGATTGAAGTTCTGTTTCATATTCAAGAAATACTAATGCATTTTCTCAAAGTATCAGGGAGTATAAACAACTTTACATTCTCCTTTGGTAGATAAAAATAGCAAGAAGTTCTTTTTACGTATTTATAGAAAAAGGAAACATGATTACAACAAAAAATTTTTTTAACGATTAAAGTAGTGGAACAACATGATTACAATCAACCTAAAAAAAGTAAAATTGTTTTCTATCATCCAACTTTTAAGCAGAGTGCTGGATAATTATAACGATTTTCTTGGCAACACTATGCTAGTTCAAAGCACTGAAGTTTTTGTTTTCATTTTTTTTGTTTGGTTGGTCTTAAAAATATCTCTTTCCCTGGATACCTTTAAGAGGGCAGTTTGGATAGTTCAGCTTCATTTCCAAACTCCTGGATATGATGTTTAAATTCTTCAGCAATCAGACTGGGCAAGTAATTCCAGGTTTCATGATTGATACATTAACCATCAGTATGTACAAGACAGCATTCTATTACATTACCATTGTTTAAATTCAGAGCAAGCAAACATAGAAACAGCATGTTAGAACTCCATTACTGCACTGCACTGTTTCTTCCATAAATTTTAAGCTTTGTTCTCCAGATTACAGCTAAAGAAACACACGGTTCGACTGGGGCATCATTTTTAATGTGGTTTTTGTTTTGTTTGCTTTTATAGTGGGAAACCCAGATTAAAAAATTAATAATCTTAGCCAAATTTTGAAATCACAAATCATTGAAATATTTTGGAAAAGGAATGGAATTATGTTGTTCCTAGAAAGTTATATCTCACTGCAGATTTCAATAGTTGATGTCCTGGAATCAGTCTAGGACAAGAAAAATAACATGTTATCAAAATCAGATGGTTGTGTTTTAGGAACCTTATTTGCCAAGCATGCTACATGGCTAAAATTCACATTATCAAAATACTGATGCACAAAATCAAAGTTTTGAACTTAACAACAGTGGATACCAATGTTATTCCAAGCTAACTAAAAATGCTGTTTTCATTTTGAATCTACAATGTAGTTTCATCCATAAATTATATCTATGTCAGTCTTTCACCATTCTTTGTACCTCACTTCTAAATCACAAGACTATTTCAACTCAAATCATTGGAATTTGTTAGAAATTTTTAGGGGAGGGAGGGAGAATAAAGTACCTCGAATATATGTCTAAAGCAGTGACAGCTATATAGAAAGCCCTAAAAAAATTGGGCTTTAATTTTTATTCTCCTCTATTTTGCAAATGTATAGATTTCACTATAGTTTAATGGGGGATCTGTGTTGGATAAGACGGTTTTGTCAGCATATCTTGTTTATATGACAATCATCAACACTGATTCTCAAACAATTATTTATACTCATTGTTTTTCTAAGGTCATAACAACAAAATATTATTTGCTCTGAAAGGTGTTCATAGAAAATAATCTGAAAAATCATTCTCTTAAATTCACGTCTCTCATTTCTACTACAATAAACACAAAATGTCTTCCATAATTCATGTAAAAACATATGCAAAAAGGTGCATCTTATTCCCCAAGTAAAGGCAGCTTAATGCAATATATGCATTCCTTTCTAATAAACATTTCATATTTTTCAGAACACCAGAGTCAGAAAAAAATCTGTAGAAAGTATTTGATTCTCCTTTCACAATATAAAATTTCTAATAAATAGTCTTACATCCAACAATCTACCAAAACCATTTTATTTCCCCACTTCCATATTCCTACCCAATGAGTAATGAAGTAAATTTAAATACCACCCTTAATTCTCCTCTTGAAAATGTATTTCTCACTTTGTTTAAAGTAAAGTAGAATATTTCCACTTTTTGCTACAGTAATATTTTATTCTACTGTCAGAATTTCCTTAAGGAACAATGAACTTTTATTGCACTGGCTGACACTTTTCCGCATTTTCTATGATGTTTCTTTGAAAAGAAGACACCTACTGTATTTGAATTTTTAAATACATAATACCTTTTTCAATGCTCACTTATCTTGTTAGCATTCTGAAGTATCAGTGAATATAAGATGCCTCTTCTAGCATTAATGACAAATTGAAGAGTAGATGGCAAGAATAAAGAAAATTGTAGATGTAGCACAAAATGAAGCATTCAAATTAGTTTTAGCATCAAATTAGTCTGCCTAAGCTCACCAATTTATGTCTACAAAATATTTAGTAATGAATACAAAACTACTGTTAACTATGGAATAAAAAGTTTATGATTTATTTATATTTTAAAATGGGAAAAAATCACCTAAGGTATGTGAGAACCCACTGATTATAAGACTGTCCTTTCATTTAATAAAAACCTAATGACAACCAGTAACTCATTCTCATGAGCATTTACTTTTTATGTTTTGTCTGATTCATGGAGCTATTTCTCTTATGATATCTTAACAATATAACAAAAAATGCCATCATAGGAATATGATATCTTAGCAGTATAACAAAAAAATGTCATCATGGGAAAGAGTTATCAATTATGACCTTTCAAAATATTTTAAAAACAAAAATATGAATTTATTTGTAAAATATTTCAATATTTTCCTTTATGCATGCCTTGCTTACTGTATGTTCATATAGCTAAATAAAATTAGTCTAACTCATAGAACATCTTTGTGCCTCTGAAAATAGATTAAACCAGAACTTGTGCTTTTGAGTAGCTTTGTGAGTCAATCTACCAAAACCAATGATATACAAATGTAATTCACAAATCCCACCCTGTGCTTACTTTTTAAAGCAAGTTACAAATTTAGCCTAAGGAAAAGTGTTATTTGGAAATGCAACACAATAAGGTGTTATCATAAAGGAGACCTTTCTGTTGAGAAATGTTTTCAAGAAGCAGAATAACTGGAACTAGGAAATGAGAGTGCCCTTTTGAATGGTTAAATATAAACAGAAACATACTCTGAGGGTAGATGAAGTATCTATTCTGTTTATCGCCCATCAAACATCCACCAAAAGTAGATGGGACTCAACTGACGTAGAAACAGTTACTGCCCCGTCATACAAAGCATAACCGAAATTCCACACAGACTAGGGTACTATTTCATCTTAGCTTTCGCACCATCACTGAATTAGATTACCACTGTAGCAAAAGTGCACCCACAACTGAATTAAAAACTTACCTTTACCAGGTGATTAAGAGAGAAATTTTGATATTATTTGTATAATGTAACTGTTCACATCCTTGAATGATCTCCACTCCTGAAGCTATTTCCACAATTATGGTAAATCATTTACACTGTTATCTTGAATTGGTAGTCTGCTTTAATATCTCTAATTTTTGGCAAGAGGAAATGCCTAGCTAATATCAGTACCACTTTATTAAGCCTGAATAAATTTTCAAAAGACATTATTCACCAAAACAGAGATTACGTACATTTTTAATTTCCCAGACAAAATAAAACAGTGTACATGTGACAGGACTTTGTGAGACAAAAAAGTGCAGATAGATTCCATTACTTGATTTTTATTAAGGAATCAAACATAATTAATTCAGTTAATTTAATTATGGATTTCTAGGATGAATTTGCATTCATTTCTCCATGTGATATAGATTAAAAAGACAGCATGAACTCTGGTTTCTTTATATCTATTACATTTTAATTTATTGTGCACAGATTTCTTGGTCTTAATATGGTCATAGTTTCCTACATACCTACTAGAGAAGGCAAACATATTTCATTTTCCAAAAGTCATTATTTTTTAAGAATGTCTCCTGAAGGGCTCTGAATTCCTTACATAAATATGCAAATATTTAAACGGACATGAGTATCTAAAATAGAGATCTCATGTATACTTCATTCTCTTTCTTGAAGATTAGAGTGATCATGCTTTCATTTATCTAATCCAAATTCTTACTATATTGTGCAAATATAGGTTTGATGAACCAGAATAATTTTTAGTTCCTAATATGAAAATGACACTTTTCTTTACAGGGATCTGGAGGCATGGTGAGATAGAATGGGGGAGGACATCTACGTGTCATTTAATTTCCTTGAGCAGCCAAAATTTTCCCAAATTAAGATTGGATTCTCAATTCCATTAGTATTAAGAACTGCTTGTTCGATTTGAAAAGACTTCCACCATCATGTATCTAGCCCAAACTCTTGTGGCCCTCAGGCACACAATGGTACAGAGGACAGTGCTACAATCCTTGTTTTGGAGTTTTTCCAGTATATTCTCCAGCAAGAAGGGCCACACTGCCATCTACAGACACAATTACCCCTATTATAATGATCATTCTGCACCCAATTTTCCTACAATAATTAGTCATTTTGTTCTGATTGTCTATCAAACTTTTTAAATTAATCTATGTATCTATTTTGATATTTCTGCAGAATATTTTCATTTTGATCCCTCTTTGAAGTCATAACATTCTGTAAAGTTCCAAATCAACAGAAAATTATTTTACAATAACATAAAGTAAAAAAAGCTACATAGGACACATAAATTACCTACCGGTCTGGTGTGTACAGACACAGGGGCCTTGAAGGTTGTCACCGGATAGCTGCACTCAGAAACGCTGTAGGGATCAGAACTGCTGGAGGAGCACTTGGAGATGGAATCACAGGCCACAAAGGTGTTATCGAGAGGCAGTTCCTGAATGATGTGGTGCTTAGAATTCAGGGGCGTCTCAGGCTGGATCTGGAAGGTCGGCTGTGGAGAGGCAGATTTGTAGTGTCGGGCCAAATCAGGGCTGTCAGGCTTGAATGTGGTAGGTGTTGTGCCCCAGTTGTACTTGCCCATGGTTTGCTCTTCCAGCTCAATGGGAAGGTCAAGTGTGACACTGTTTCCATCATTGTCAGCATCATCTGCCTTTGCTTCTTCAATAGTGACAAAGTTAAGCAGCAAGTTCTTAGGGGCATTCTTCTTCTTCTTCTTCTTCTTTTTCTTCATCATTATCATCTGTCTGTTTTCTGGGTTTGGGGTAACCCATTCAGAATTCTGTTTGTTTTTCTGAGCAGCCTTAAGATGTGGTGCTTGGCGACATCTTACGACAGCAGTGATGAAAATAACTAGGATGACAGTTATGGTGCCAGCAACAATGGCAACCATGATCTTGACATAGTCACTGGTTGGTGAGGATGCATCAGCTGTCTCAACATTTTGTGTCACTGGTGTTTCAATGCTTTTGTGCACCAATTCATTAATCAGTGTAGCATTGGTCACTGATTCATTCACGAACAGATTGACAACTATAACATTGAAGAGGGAATCAGGTTGTCCTAAGTCCTTAGCTTTTACTACCAATCTGTGTAAACCAAGGTCAGCAACAACACATTTCTCTTTCAGTGTGATATTTCCTGATGTTTGGTCAATTATAAACAGACCCTTTGCGTTTCCCCCTGCAATGCTGTAACGAATTTCTGCATTCATGCCAGTATCATTGTCAACAGCAACTACCTGAAAGACCACTGCTCCTGGATTAGTAGATGGTAGAACCAATTCATAGGAGTAGTTGGAAGGAGGGATAACAAAAACTGGTTTGTTGTCATTGACATCAACCACATTAATGGTTACTTTGGCAGTTGAAGAGCGTGATACCCTACCACCATCCTCAGCTTTTACATAGAAAGTGTAAGACTCTTGCTTTTCTCTATCAAATGAGATATTTGGTCGGATGACACCAGTCTGTGGATCAATGGTGAACTCATCATTCACATCTACAATGGAGAGAGTGACTGCAGAATTCTCTCCATAGTCAGGATCAGTTACAGTGATGAGTCCCACTGTGCCATGTCTTGGGAGGTTTTCTGGGACATAGAAGTTGTACTCATTGTGAGTGAAAATTGGGCTGTTATCATTCTGATCAAGAACAGTCACTAAGACTGTGGCATTAGTTATTAAGGGTGGAATGCCATTATCTTTTGCCAGAACTGTGAAGTAATATTTTTCCTGTTTTTCTCTATCTAGTTTCTTTACTGCAGTCAGAATGCCTGTACGATGATCCAGATTGAATTCAGGTGGAGCATCAGTGCCCAGCAGGTAATTGATCTCAGCATTCCGCCCACTGTCTGCATCGGTTGCACTTATTTTTGTCAACTGAGTGCCAGGAGAGTTATTTTCAGGAACAGAAATACTTATGAAAGGCTGGGTGAAAACTGGAGCATTGTCATTTTCATCTTTCACTTTGACGAGGAGCATGGATGACTGATTCAAAGGAGGTTTGCCAGCATCCGCAGCCAACAATTTAATGGCATATTCTCTAGTGGACTCATAGTCAAGATATGCAGCAGTCTCCAGGAGGAACTGATTACTAAATACTGGTCTTAATCTGAAAGGGACTTCATGATCTGTGAAACACGTCACCCTACCATTATGGTCAGCATCCTTATCTGTCACAGTTATGAGAGCAACTTTGGTATTGAGTGGGGCATTTTCTGAAAGAACCACGGTGCCATTTGTTGGATTGATGATGTATCTTATGTCAATCGATGGGACATTATCATTGATATCTGTAACGTTTACCAATACCATTGCTCTTGCTGGCATTGATCCACCATCAGTTGCCAAAACCAGTAACTTGTGGCTTGGTGCTTCTTCCCTATCCAGTGGTTCTTTGACTGTGATAAGTCCAGTGGTCGTGTTGAGATGAAACAGTCTCTTGGCAATGTTGGAGACTAGATTGCTGAAATAGAAATGAATCTTGGCATTTTCACCTATGTCAGCATCTGTAGCATGGAGCTGTGTCACTGAAGTACCTACAGGAGCATTTTCAGGTATACTGACTTCAATCTCATTTTCCTTGAAGACTGGGCGGTTGTCATTTGTATCAGCAACACTTACTTGCAAGATAGCGGTACTGGATCTTTGAGGAAAGCCACCATCTTCAACCTTTACTTTCATCACATAGGTATCCTTCTCTTCCCTATCTAATTCCTTTTGAACAATCAGTTGTGGCATCTTGTCTCCTTCTGGTGTTTCAATGACATCAAGCCCAAAAATATTTTGACCCTGGAAAAACATGTAATGAAATACAATTTAACTTTGTTAATAATACAAATTAATATACCAATATCAATATATATCATGAAATGATTTAGCCATGTTAACTTATGTAATGAGAACAACTTTCAATTCCTTGAAGACACATGACATAGTAAGATGTCATAGCAAGACAGAAATAGGTGCCAGAAAACCTGTGTCCTAAATCTCAACTCTGTGTATCACTAATATTGTGATAAGAAGCATGGTTATTCTACATGAATTAAAATATATTTTACTGTAGATATATGTCTAATATGTTTTTTAGCCATCAAATGTAACCAGCAAGTATAGAATATTCATCAAAGACAGCAGCATTCAAGACATCTAATAAATAGAGTCAAAACCTTTGGTAGATGGATGAAATAAAAGGATTTACTGTTATAACAAATTTATGTAAAGTATCAGTACACAGAATTTCATTTTTTTCCTCTAGGAACATATGATGAAATAAAATTATATTGGAGATTAACAATGCAATGTTTTTAACCTCTCCCTGTCTTTTTTAAATAAGCAAGCACAAAGGGCACATACTGAAATGTAGAATTGGAAAAGATAGGTTAGCACAGCACCTTTTTTTTTTTTCTTTATGCACCTGAAGCTACAGTATGGGGATGTTTAAAAAACATTTCCCTATCTGAACTACAATCAGATGAGCCCTAGACAGACAAATAGTGAATATGCCAGCTGATGGAGGAATAGTACTGACTTGCTCTCAGGTGGTTCCTGCCCAGTGTTACATGCGGAATTTTGACAGAAATGAATAGAATAAAAAGATAGTGAGAGTGTGAAGCAAAGATCAGAAGAGGAACTTAAGATTCCTATTACATGAGTCATCTTTAAATATACATGTATTCATTCATTCATGTATGCATATATATGAGGGGGCTTCAAAGAGTTCATGGAAATGCACATTATCTTTTAATTCTATTTTCCACGAACTATCTGAACCTCCTCATATATGATACTGTCGCCTGTTTTAAACCTCTAATAGTACCTTATGATTTCCCTTTATAGTTTTTATTAAAATGCATATATTCACTTAATTAATATAAAGCCGTTACTATCAGTATCATAATTAAATACTTAGATTGTCATTGATTTTTCTCACATCTTAGCTAGAAGTTGATTTTCCATTATATTAGCAAAACATGTTTGCTCACCAACATATATCCCCACTTCCTAGGCAAATGCTCTAATCATATTAGATATTCAATATATCAGCATGCAAAGAATTAATAAAAATAGTATTGGATGCCATGAACTTTAATGAAATACAATTTAGAAACTATTTTTCTACTCATAACTGAGACATTTTGGATGTGAAACTTCCTAAAAGCTTTTTGGGATGCCATTACAAATACAAAATTATCATTAATTACTGTTTATTTCGATCAAATTATAATACTAAACACTGTATTTATTTATATTAAATATTACTATGATAAAATTCTATTTTGCTTAAAATATGCTATAAAAGAAATAATAAATTTCCAGTTTGCCAATTTTCACACAGTAAACAGATATAACATGAAAAAAGTTTGCCTTGCTATATGTTTCAAGAAAAAACACATTCTTTAACTGGTCATATGACTAAAATAAGAATAGAGTTCTAAGTTTAATTGTATGAGTTAAAAACACAACCAATATACACACTTTAGTTCATATAAAAAGTTGAAAAAATCACATTGGAGCAAACTGGTGATTTTAATTAATATTTCTGAAATGCCATCTTAAAATTCATAATCAACATGTAATTCTTCCACCATATCATAGCCCTGTATTTGAATAAACGTATAAGTGAATGTGTAAGTGAATCTTAGCACTAAAAAAATCCAATGTAGTGCATAAATATCTTCAAGCAAATCACAAGAAAAATAAAGCAATGTATTTGGGTATTGCACAAGATTAAAGGGGGATCTTCAAAAAGTTCATGTATAAAAGTGTATTATAAGACAACTATGCATGGATTTCAAATTTTTTTCACCAAAATAAACTTACCTTTTAATTCCATTTTCCACAAACATTTTGAAGTGTCCTTGTATTAACACAGTATAAAAGGAAAAAGTAAATGTTCTGTAGTTCTTGATTTCATATACAATTATACAACTATGACTATAATACACATGGAAAAAAAGAACAGGCTAGTTTAACTTTTAATTTTATGGACTTATGTTTGTGTATTTCCTGTTTACATATTTAGAGTTTAGTCTTATGTGTTTGCCTGACTTTTGAGTTGGTCTTTGCTTTCCCAAGCAAATTAAGGCAAAGTTATGGCAGTGGAAGAATTAAAAAGAATAAAAATACTCTCTGTCTCAGTCATTTTATGTAAAATGGAAATAATCTTAGAAGATAGAATTTTCTTTTTTTATTTATTTATCTGAGGGGGGGAGAGAGCGAGAGAGAGAGTTAGTTCCTATCTGCCAGCTCACTTCTTAAACGCTCATAAAGGCTGGCCTAGGTTGGGCCAAAGCTGAAGCTCGCAACTCAAGGCGGATCTCTGATGTGAGTGGCAGGAACTCAATCACTTGAGCCATTATGTGTTGCTTCCATATTATGTGTTGCTTCCCATAGTGTGCTGTAGCAGAAAGCCAAGAGTCCGAAGCTGGAGCCAGGTACTCCCAAGTACTCCCATATGGGGCCTGAGAATTTTTTTTTTAATTTTTATTTTATTTTTTTTTTTTTTGACAGGCAGAGTGGACAGTGAGAGAGAGAGATAGAGAGAAAGGTCTTCCTTTGCCGTTGGTTCACCCTCCAATGGCCGCCACGGCCAGTGCGCTGCAGCCGGTGCATCGCGCTGATTTGAAGCCAGGTGCTTTTCCTGGTCTCCCATGCGGGTGCAGGACCCAAGCACTTGGGCCATCCTCCACTGCACTCCTGGGCCATAGCAGAGAGCTGGCCTGGAAGAGGGGCAACCGGGACAGAATCCGGCACCCCGACCAGGACTAGAACCCGGTGTGCCAGCGCCGCAAGGCAGAGGATTAGCCTATTGAGCCACGGTGCCAGCCTAGGGCCTGAGAATCTTAACCAGCATGGTAACCACTAGCCCAAATATCTACCCCAAAATGCAGACTTCCTGAATTTCAAGGTGACAATGAAATATACATACCATTTAATAGATAATGTCCCCATTGCTCTTTTGTCTTCTATGACTGTACTAATCAATAAGATAGTGACTCCAAGGGAGGATTTACATTTAAATTTTAATGAATTAAAGTTAGATAAAATTTTCAAATCAGTCTTTATTTATAACAGCCACATTTGAACTCCCAGTAGCTGTATGTGTAGCTATCATGTTACATAGCAAAAATGTAGAACATTTCCATTACTGTAGAAAGTTTTATTGGACTGTACTGTATCTAGTTTTCTTTAACAAAGACACTCAATTTCAACCATGTGATTGCAGGTGTAATGTCCCCTCTCCCAGATATTAAGAGCTCTACGAATGAGTTATTGGTTTATATATGTAAACATCATATTGTCCAGGAAATTTAAACCAGAGTTGCCCACATGTGAGACACAAATACTTTTTAACACAATTCTATCATGATGTTTAAGTTCAATATGAAAAAGTGGTGCCAGCATGACTTTACTATCATTACTGAATGACTGTTCCAAGACTGTTTTCTGTCACATCTCCTTCAGAAATAAAATATGACTAACACATGTATCCAACATTAGTTCTACTTCATGGCAGTTAGCTCAACTGATATTCACATCCTCTTGAACAATGAAAAAACTTAAGCCCTCTGACATATGTTTGACCATGATATCAAGACAGTGAGAAGGGAGAAAAAGGGAAAAAGATGTATGGCTCCTTAATTCATCATCGCCTTAACTCTAGGACAGACATGTCCTAAAAAGAAGTAGTATGTATGGGATAATTCACCTATAGTATCCTGAATTCAAAACATACTTAGAATTATTTGTTTATCCTTGTTTATAAAGGTATTACCTACTTGAGGAAATCCTTTACTACCTATCCAAATGTTGTTTATCCTTCGTCGAGAGCACTAGCTATCATATATGAGAGTAAATCTACTTGAATTACTTAATATACAAAAGGTATGAGTGTATAGTGACATGGCATGACACTTTGTGTATATGTATTGTCTCTGAGAAGATAGCATCTGGTATATGAAGGTTCTTCAAAAGGTTTGTGGGAAATGAAATCAAAATATAAGTTCATTTTGATGCAAAGAATTTCAAAATCTATGCACTTTTTATAATACACATTTCCATGACACTTTTGAAGATGCCTTTTATATGAACACATTCAGTAAGCATCTCTTAGATGAACAAATGCAAGAACTAAAAGGATAGCTCCTGTTTTAAGATAAAGGGAGAGGGGCTGGTACTGTGGTTCAGTGGGTCAAGCCATCATTAGCAGCACCGGAATCCCATGTGGGCACCAGTTCAAGCACCAGCTGCTCAACTTCATATCCAGCTCCCTGCTAACGAGCCTGGGAAAGCAGCAGAGGATGGCCCAAATGCTTGAGTCCCTGCATACGTGTGGGAGACCCAGAAGAAGCTCCTGGTTGCTGAGTTTGCTCTGGCTCAGCCCTGGTCGTTGTGGCCATTTAGAGAGTGAATCAGCAGATGGAAGATCTCTCTGTCTCTGTCTCTCCCTCTTTCTCAGTAATTCTGACTTTCAAATAAGTTAATAAATAGATCTTGAAAAAAAAAAAAACAGATAGAAACAAAGCAGAGTTTGTACTTCTTTTTAATCCTTAGCCTATATTGGCACAGAAATAGTCTACAACTGTTCACTAAGGAGTCTTTTTTCTTTTCCTTTAATAAAGCTATCTAGAAAACAATTTCAGAGTTATTTTCTGAAACATCTACGTTATTTTGTTAAAGGAGTAATAAAAGCTGAAGCATCAAGGATGTAATAAAAGCTAAAGTGTCAAAAGCTAGTAAAATGTTACAACCTAGTTGTAAACCTTTATTTTCAGAAGAAATTATGACAT